TGTTTAGGATGAGAAGGAAGTAACAGGTGGGGCCAGAAGGGTTCACTAAGAACAAGTCACCCACTCCTCCATTCAACAAGCCTTCACTGGGTACCCACTGAGTACCAGGCGCCGTGCTGGGTGCCGGACATGCAAGGGCAAACCCCACACGGCCCTGACCCTAGGTGACTTCATCTGCCTCAGGTGCAGAGGGCCGCCACTCCCAATCTATGTGTAGGAAACCTGGGAGGTCTCGCCAAGGCTGGCTGGGACGCTCAAGACTTGATGAGACTTAATTATGTGGCAATCTCTTATGCACAGGTAGTCCGAGCAGGTGGTCTGGGGTGACACACCCCACGGCTCTTTCCATGGCTCTGATCTGATTGTTTATTGGCGACTTGGATGAGGTTGGAGAGGTCCAGTGCTCAGATTTGTGGATGGACAAAGCTGGGAGGCAGAGCAGAAAGAGTGGGCGACAGAGCCAGGATCCCAAAGGCTCTCAACAAGCTGGAGCTCTGCGATGACCCTAAAAGATGGTGCCTTTTAGGGACAAGTGGCAGGTCCTCTGTGTGTCCTAAACTCCAATATCACAACCCTTCTGTAAACAGACACCAGCAGAGGAGCCCAGTGCCTGGACGTGGCTTCTGTCTCCAGTGTTGTGGTCACTTAGCACAGAACCTGGCACCCAGAGGGTGTTTACTGCCTGTTCTCGGGATGATTGTGCAGACAAGGAAAGTACACTGTTTGGAGTCGGGCATGTGGATTCAACTCTTCTCTGTTCAAGTCTTTGCCCTTGGACAAATCAGCAACCCCTTCTGAACTTCAGTTCCCTCATCTATAAAACGGAAGTAATAATGCCTACTTTTTCCAATGAGATAATGGATTATCAACTCCACAGCCTAATCAATATTGGATTGTATTATTAAGACACAGCCCCTGCTTTCGAGCATGGACAGAAGCACCAAGAAGCCCTTTCAACACAGCCTGACAGTTGTAAGAGGATGACCACCCTTACCTTGGAACAGTGGGATGTGGGTGGGGGGGATCTTCAGGTGGAGACATGAGGAAGAGCATTCCAGGCAGAGCAAGCACAGTGAGCAAAGGGCATGGAGGTGGGAGGTGTGCAGTGCCCTGAGCACCATCTCAGGGCCCCAAGGAAGGGGAGGAATGAGAGTGGTCAGTTGCACGGCCAGGTGAAGCGTGGCCTTGTGGGTCAGAGCCAGGAGTCTGGACTGAGCACAAGGTTTTAGGCGTGACGAGATTTGCTTTTAGAAAGGTCACTCATCTGCCATATGAAAGACAGTTGGAGAAGACCAGTCTGAAGAGGGGAGGCCAGGCAAGAAGCTATGGCAGTGGACCGGGGAGTAGGGGAAAGGCTGAGACAGGAAGTAGCCACGTGACTTAGACGGTATTGAGGCGGCTGGACTGATCAGACAGGAAGACGCGGCGGCTGGCTTATGCTGTCACTCCTCTGTGCCTCAGCATCATGGGACACCAGGCAGAGGCTCTGACATAGAATGAATCAGATATCGATTCCAACTCCCCTGCTTCTAGCTGTGGGACCCTTCTGTAAAATGGGGACACAAACACCCACAACAGGGTGAATAGGATAAAATGACATGATCACTATAAAGTGCCCAGAAGGTAGATGGCTCATTTCAGAACGTCCTTCCCCCCTTGTCCTGATTAAAAGTCACCTTATCACTTCATTCATTAAATACGTACGTCTTTACTATCACACCTGCCTGCCTCCCTGCCTCCTTTCAGTCAACGAATATCCTCCAGAATACAGCTCCGAGAGGACAAGACCCTAGTCTGCCGCATTCATCACTGCAGTCCCAGCATCCAATACAGCGCCTGGTCCCTAGTAGATGCTCAGTTAATGTTCACTAAATTAACTAAGCACCTTCTAGGCACTGTTCCACATGCTGAATATCAGGCTGAGCACGACAAAGTGCAGCTCTCAGGAAGCTTGCCTGAGTGGAGACAAAAAATAAAAAGTATGATTCCAGATAGTGATAATGCTATAAGGTACAAAGGGTGGCATGTTAGAAGGTGTCAAGGGGGACTGTTTGCCAAGTGGGTGATCAGGGAAGGTGACATTGGCGCCAAGTGTTCCAAACAGAGGGACAACTAACACAGAAGCTCTGGAGCAGGGACCAGCTTGAGATGATCGAGAGACCAAAGGGTGCTCATGTGGCTGGAGCACGCACGACGAACGAGAGGAAGAGACATCCAGGAGGAGGCAGGGGCGTGTGCAAGGGCCACGTCACGTGGGGCCTCGCAGGACTCGAGGAGGAGACTGGATTTTATTCGCGGGTGATTGGGAAGCCATTGCAAGGTCTTAAGGAGAGAGGTGGCTCGATCTGATATACACTTTTTTTTTTTTTTTGCGGTCCGCGGGCCTCTCACCGTTGTGGCCTCTCCCGTTGAGGAGCACAGGCTCCGGACGCGCAGGCTCAGCGGCCATGGCTCACGGGCCCAGCCGCTCCACGGCATGGGGAATCTTCCCGGACCGGGGCACAATCCCGTGTCCCCTGCATCGGCAGGCGGACTCTCAACCACTGCGCCACCAGGGAAGCCCTGATATACACTTTTTTTTTTTTTTTGCGGTCCGCGGGCCTCTCACCGTTGTGGCCTCTCCCGTTGAGGAGCACAGGCTCCGGACGCGCAGGCTCAGCGGCCATGGCTCACGGGCCCAGCCGCTCCACGGCATGGGGAATCTTCCCGGACCGGGGCACAATCCCGTGTCCCCTGCATCGGCAGGCGGACTCTCAACCACTGCGCCACCAGGGAAGCCCTGATATACACTTTTTTTTTTTTTTTGCGGTCCGCGGGCCTCTCACCGTTGTGGCCTCTCCCGTTGAGGAGCACAGGCTCCGGACGCGCAGGCTCAGCGGCCATGGCTCACGGGCCCAGCCGCTCCACGGCATGGGGAATCTTCCCGGACCGGGGCACAATCCCGTGTCCCCTGCATCGGCAGGCGGACTCTCAACCACTGCGCCACCAGGGAAGCCCTGATATACACTTTTAAATGATCACTCTGGCTGCTGTATGGAGAATGGATTGGCTGACAGGTGAGGAAGGAAGCAGGGAGTCCAGTTCGGTTATTAGTGTCCAGGTGAGAGGCAGGTGGCTTGGACCACAGTGTAGAGGTGGAGGTGGAACACAGGGGGTACTCGCTTCCTCGCTGACCACCTCCGCCGCCCTCAGCAGCATTTGGCCCCATCGTCTACCCTTTCACCCCGCCCTGATCACAGGAGAGCCAACGTGCTTGCATCCTCCACACACACAGGGCCAGGAGCCTCTCAGGGATGGCGGAACGCCAGCACCACTAAGCACGGGGCTGGGCACGGCCCTGCTGGGGTCCAAGGGTGACATCAATAAACCGGGGAAGGAATGGAGGAGAGGTGGCCCCCCACGGCAGCCTCGTGTCTAAAAGCACGAGGCTATCATTAACCAAAGAGAGAAATGGGGCAGGAAGCTGGGGCAGATGGCACGTGGTTTCATGGAAGGATATGAGGCGAAGTGACAGAGTAGTTAAATCAGGGCAAAGTGCAGCAGCTGCCTGGTCACCCCAATCTAGGCATCCACGTGGGTCGGGCCTTCTAGTCAGCCCCAAGGTAGGGCCTCACGTCTGCCCCGAGACTTGCCCCACTGAGGCAGGGACGCCACTGGCAGAAAGTACAGGTGCCACTAGGCACGTGACTTGGAGGGGAAAGCACTACTGGAGAAGCAGGAAAATCTCGGTGGAGAAGGGAGCCTTGGGAAAGCAGCTTGCCCTGAAAAGAATATGAAGGAGGTCAGGTGGGAGCCAGGGGCCCACCCTGCCCGAGGGCTCAGGCCAGAGACATCTCCGACAGCAAGCAGGCGAGTTAGGGCTGGAGCCAGGGAGGAGCGAGGCAGCTGTGCTGGTGGACCCAAGAAGCCCCCCAGTCATCCAGACGAGCTAACCCTCCACCCACCAGGCAAAGCAGTCCAGTAAGAGGTGAGCTGGCAAACTGGGCAGAGCTGAGCCTGAGCTGAGACAGCTCACTTCCAGCCCTCAACTGTCAAGTCCCAAATCACCTCTCTCTCTACCTGGGCCACGGCCCTAGCTCACGCCCCAGGCCCCCTTCCCCACATTAGGATCATGGGGCAGCCTTGTTACCCTCTGCAGGCTCTGCCCCTCCAGCCTACTCTCCTCGCCACACCTGTCTGATCCTTCAAGAGCGCCCCATTGCCCTTGAGACTGGATTCAAGTTCCTGAACTGGCTCTCCAAGTCCACCTTGATCTGACCCCCACCTACATCTCTGCTGCTCCTCCTGTACCCATTCTGGGTGTAGTACTGTTCCTTCTCCCTGGGATGTCCTCGTCCCCTATCTCAGCCCTGGGGACCTTCTATACTCAACACAGGCACTCCTCCTTCAGGAAGCCTTCCCAGAACATTCCAGTCCTGGGCTGGCCCTGCGAGCACTCTGCCAGATCACCTTGTCTTGTGCTCGCCTCCTCAGTCCTGCGGGTTCCTCTCCCCAGCAGCATCCCAGACTCCCCGCTGCCCTGTGCCCAGCCCTGTGCTGGCCACTGAGGACAAAGACGTAGAGACAGTATCCCTGCCGTCAAGGAGAGCCAGTGCTAAGGGCGGTGACCCACCCGCGGATGCCCACCACACAGCGCAGACTGGGAGGAAACAGCCCACCTACTCCAGGGCTCAGAAGGAGAAAGAGGGATCTGAGCTGGGCCTCAGAGGATTTAATGGTAGGGGAGCAGAAAGGGCATTCCCAGCAGAGGCAAGGAGAAGAGAAAAGACAATGTCTAACAAAGTAGGGCTTAGTCTAAGGGGGGGTGGGAGGGGTGGGTATGAAGTGCTGGGGCCGCATCGCCCATCCTGAGAAGCTTGTGTCCATCCTGCGAGTGACAGGAACCAGAGGAGGTTTTGGAGCAGGAGACTGACGTGGCTGGAGTCAGGTTCTAGAAGGTCGGGTCTCCAACCCCCAGTTTCTAACGACGACTTCCAGAAAGGACACAGACCAGGAACCGATTCTTGACTGTTAGTGGGCCTTCGCCCATGTCATGCCCACCGGCTGCCACGTTGGGGGTGTCAGGGCAGGGAGGGGAACAGGGGAGGGAGCGAGGTCCAGACTCAGTGAGTTTGGGCTTCTTGCAGGGGTGAGGAGGAGGGACTTGGAAGCCTCTGCCCCAGGCTGAACACTTCCTCCAGGGTGGCAGCTGTGCCCTGACTACGCTGGGTGTGGCTCCAGTGGGTCTCAGGCCCTCTAGGGCCAGGCGGCGGCAGTCAGCATGGCTGCCTCTCAGGGGTCATCAGTCGCTCCACCTCCCGCATGAACCGCAGACACAGCTCTTCCTGCCACGGCAGAGCCACGCACTGCACAGCCACAGGCAGGCCCACGCTCTTCTTCACAGCCTGCAGGGGACACAGGAATCAGGACGGGAGGTGTCGAGGCAGGACCCCACCCTGGGCCCAGGAAGCACCCCAGCTGGAGAGGAGGGCAGCACGGCAGGGCCAGCCCGCAGTCTTTAGGGGTCTTGCGTTAAGAAAGACGAGAGGATGTGAGGGCGATCTGGCTGTGACATCTGCCACCCCATTGATTGCCAGGGTTGATTTGGCTGATCTGGCTGGCTAGGCGGGTGTCCCCTTCCTCCCTCACCACTCCATGGGCGTCCCTCCCGAAGCTGCGTGCTGGGTCAAAGAGGACGACCTTCCCCCAGAGAGGAGGACCGTTCTTCGGTCAAGGGTATACGAGCAGCTGCGCTCCCCTGCTAGAACCTCCAAACAAGCTCTCAAGACAGACAGACAAGGATACTCGTGTTTATACTGTCTCCTCCACTAGAGGAAGGGGAGCAGGTGTGAGTCCAGGGGAAAAGGGACTTACCTTCTGCAGCGCCTTGTCCCAGATATCCCCAAAGCAGCCCTTGTAATGCTCCAACTGGGCCTCGTCCTCGGCGGTCACCGTGGTGACAGGCACTACCCCCGCAGGGAAGTCCAGGCAGTTGTAGAGCAGAGTATAGCTGACGGCCCCTGAGACACAGCACATGTGGCTGGAGCAGGTTGGGTGACCTTCCATGACAACTGTCCTCTCTGAGCCCCAGTCTTCCACCCTGTGAAATGGCACCCTGCATCCACAGACAGGGAGAGGTTCTCTCCTAGGGCTGAGACTTGAGTGAGAGTGACAGATCCCAGGAATCCAGATTCAGGGCGGGCTGGAGAGCCCGCTGACGAGCTTGCCCTGTGCCTCTTCCCTGCAGCTTCCCCCCACCTGGACTGTTGTTGCTGTTTTCCTGGTTTATCTAAATCCCACCTGGACTTCAAACACCACCTCCCAAAACCACAGACTATTTTACAAGATCTCCAACCTGAATAGTGCTGAGGACAGGGTCCCACATGACTCCCATCTCTCCAGCCAACCAGACTGTGAGCCTCTCAAGGGTGGAGTCCTCCCCCAGGGCTGCAGCCCACCCGCAGGGCTCCCCTTCTTCTACCTCCCAGCAGCCCCACCAGGCGAAGGGCTGAACTCACAGAAGAGAAGAGACAGGGGACAGGGCTGTGACGGGGCTGCAAGCCTCACCTGTGGCCTTGCCTGGGCCATTCAAGTCTAGAGCAGGGCCCAGCATGGGGGTGAGCAGCACATCCAGCTCCACTGCTCTCCACTGGGCAATCACAGAGTGACGGTACACCTGGGGAGGATACCCGTACACCAGGTGAAGCACAGACCCAGTCCATTACATGGACTCTCCAACGCAGGCACTGTGGCTGGGGTGACTCTAGCCCTGCACCTGCCCCAGATGTGAACTGAACCACAGTGGGATGGAGGACCTCGGGGTATTCAGACAGGGCTGCTCTCAGGGGGCATCAGCTGCTCCACAGAACCACAGACACCACTCTTCCTACCAGGGCAGGGCCATGGAGTGCTGGCTACAGGCGGCACCAGAGTGGCAAAGAGGTATCCAGGACAGGAGCCCCAGGCTGACCCAGGCCCCTAGGACGGGTCTCCGGGCAAGTGAGGGTCTGACAGCAGTCCCCAAGCGGCCCAATCCAGGGAGTGGAAGGGAGAACGATGGGCCACTCCAGGGGACCAGTGGGACCGGTGGCCGAGAGACCCCAACACAGGTGCCCTGTCCAACTCCACCCCCCACCCGCCCTACTCTAGTCGAGAGGCTCTGGCCTCACCTCAATCTCGTGGTGCAGTTCCCAGAGCTTTCCAGCTGACCTGGACAGAGGGAGTGAGGTCACTGACCATGATGATCCCAGCCATGGGGATTAGCAGCATCAGACCCCTACTCTCAACACCTCCCAGATCTCATTCCTCCTTGGACCCTTCTCAATTCCAGGGCACTCTGAGAGGAAAGTAGTGCAGGGCAGAGGTTCTAATCCCTAAGTTCATGTCCCACTGAGTCCCCAAGAGGGACTTAGGCCTGACTCCTAGCTACCCTCAGGACACAGGAGAGGCCAGAGCCACCCAAGGTCCTAAATGCCTGGTGGTAACAGAAGGAGCAAGTCCACAAGATGTCAGGGCCTGAGAATGGGACAACTTATTCCCCGCTTTTCCGGCGTGAGCCACTGAGGGGCAGGCAAGAGAGGGCGCGGTGCAGTCTGATCTCTAAGAGTAGCACCCTCATGGGTTCCCAGCATCCCCCGCTCCTGCCGCCTGCCAGCTCCTTCCCGGGCCTTTCCACCCGTGCCCAGCCAGGGCAATCTTCTCCGCTCCACCCCCTCCCATCCTGTGCTCTCCCTCAGGTCCTTGCTCTCCAGGCATCCCTGGACCTTGCTAAGACATCTTCAAGATCCTCCTCGAAAGCCACAGAGGCTGCCACCCTGCCTGGGCCCTTTCCAGCCTCAGAAGATACTTCTCTCATCTTTTCCTGTTGGAAAGCCCTTGGACCCAGGTCAGGGGAAAAGCGGGGCAAGCATCTGGGCGTGGGAAACGTTCTTACCGAGACTTCATGCTGTTGAGAAAGGCTGACAACCTTGGGAGCTGCAGAAGGACAGGCACAGGCAGTGACTCAGCTTTGGGCCAGGTGTGGCAATAAGCTTCAGGCCAAGCTGCCCATGCTTCCTCCCTCTGTCCCTCCCCCCGTGTCCCGGGTCAGCACCCCTTTCAGCATGCATGTTAGCTGAAGATCAGAGGGCATGGGGGGGAGCAGAAGAGACTAGGTGAGGGCTGAGAAGAAGAGGAGGCTAAGGGGAGGGGGGAAGAGCCCCAGAGGCTCCCGCCCGGCCCAGCCCACCCCTTCTACTCCTTGTGCCCTCACCAGAGGCCTTAGCATGAAAGCCAGCAGTCCTTTAAGCCATCTGGGCAGCCTCAGAATTGAGACCAGGTCTCCCAAGCAGGGGTCCACGAAATCACCTTTGCTGAGAGACAAAGGGTCCAGTCCAGACACATCCACCCCAGGCTTCCCTCCTGGCTCACCCCCACCTACTGCATCCCCCGGTCTCTACTCAGTGACTCTGCCTACCTCCCTCCTCACCAGACTCCGGCAGCCACGCTCTCCAGTCCCTTCATCTCAGCCTCTCCTTTCCAACATGCGGCTTGTGTCTGCAGACCCTTTGGGATGCCTGGGCTCCACCCACACCCAGTGGAGCTCCCCAAGGCAGGACTCCCTGTCTCCCTCCCCGACAAACTCAGCTTAAAGCAATAAGAACTACAGGCAGCATCTCCCTGGCCAGGGAGTGATACTGAGGGCATTCCCCCCATGGATGCGGCCATTGGCCTGGAGGCACGAGTGGCGCAGTCTTGAGTGGGCACCGTGATCCTTGTCTCTGAGGCTGTCTCTGCTCTAGATGTCAGGGAAAGGTCTCAGGCAGCTGATCCTGGAGCCTCATTCCCAGGGCCAGAGTGAGGGGTAGCCCTTTCCACTAAAGCCTGAACCATACTTAGCTACTGGGGGAAGTCCAGTCAGTCTGGGCATGTCCCCAGGAGGCACCTTCACAGGCCTGTCCTCTGCCCGTGTCAACCTTTAAGGACTGAAAACACCCAAGTGGAACCAGCTTCTCTAAACGTGGGCTCTGCGAAGTCCCTTAAAGCGGGTCTGGCCCAACCTACTGACTTTACAGACAAGAAAACTGAGGTCCTACTCAAAAGAGAAAGACGTGGCTCAAGTGAGAAGAGCCCGGAGTCACAGAATGACGTCTACACCCCTGCCCTCCTATTTGACCCTACCCTTGTCTCTCAATCTTTCCCAAACAGACAGGCAACTCCCTGCCTACCTCTTACCTCCCAGCCAGCTCAGCTCAGGATGAGGCCATGGATGCTCAATCCAGCCTCCCCCTGCGCTGGCACCTTTCCAAAGACTCCCTGGCAAGGTAGTGCCAGGCTCAGCCTGCAGTCAGAGGGGTGGTAAGGTCCCTACCCAGAATGCTCAGACCATCTTCACGTTCAGCTGAGGCCTGTCCTCCATCTTCCCCCAGCCTGGCCTGTCCCCGGGGTTACAGCACCCAGCTGCTCTTCCTGGGTCTCCCCATGTCGTGATCCCACCACAGACCTCCAAACCCAACATCACTCACAAGTTCTGTAGGAAGCTCTTGCCACCGTCACTGAACAGCCCACCCGTCGACAGGGTCTCCAGAGCATGGGGTATGTTGCTTGGCAGGAAGGGAACCAGCTGCAGGGACTGAGGAGTGTAAGACTCCCAGACCTAGAAACCCTTGGGTCCCACCACCCCCATGCTACCCAGGCAGCCCCGAGCGTGGACTGGACCAACCCTGCCTTCACGGTACCCTCACTGGAGCCGCAACGGTGGCCTTGTTGGCCCGTGATAACTCCCTGTAAGATGCACATCAGGAGAGAAGTCTGGAGCCACACATAAGCCTGTCTCAGATGAACATCCCCAAACCTGCCATCTCAGGGCCCCAGGAACCTCTGGACAGCTGTGCACCCCTGTCTGCGGTCGACGAGGCCCTCCCAATGCAGCTCACAGCTCACACATCCCCAGCACAGGGGTGAGCTCACCATCAATCATGTACCCCAATACTTCTGATCAGCCCCTTTTTACTTGTCCCCCCAGGGACCGAATTCCCACCCCTAACCACAAAACAGTCAGGGTGGAAGGATGCCAGGGATGGGTGGCAGCCATGGGTACCAGGAAGGCTTCCCTGAAAGAGGGCAATGCCAGGACTTGTGGGCTCCCATCTCCATACCGTGTGGCCAGCAGCTTCGAGTCTCTTCTTGGTCTCCAGCAGGGCCCGTGTCATGGCCGGGGTGGGCATGGTATAGTTGTCAGTCTCATAATACCCCACACGCAGGGGCTGAGAGCTTGTGTAGACCTGGGGGCAACACACAGGAGTCAGAGTCAGGTCAGGAGAGGGTGGCCCCAAGCAGGGCTCCCAGAGCTCAGAGCAGCTACTCAGCCCCAGACGCAGCTTTGAGGCTGCCCGCTAGATCCCCCAGAAACTGACTGCCAGTGAGGCCAGCCCCTTCTGCATATGACCCCTTCACAAAACACCTTCACAATGACTTTGCAGGTGGGCAGAGCAAGATTAGGATTCCCACTGGTCCTACGATGAAACTGAGGCTTCAGGTCTAGATAGGGAGATAGGCCCAGAGTGGGGCTGGGACTCAGCCAAGGCCACTTGTCAGGGCAGAGCAACAACACATCCCGTGTCCTGAGCCGAGGCTCTCCACAGCCTCTTTCCAGAATGCTAGTCCTGGCTCCCGTAATAGATTGTTCCAGACCTCAGGACAGGAGCCTCACCTCCTCCCCTCCTCTCAGGAAGGGGCTCTTGAACGACTGGTTTCACTTAGAACATCTCCTCTGCTGAGGAGGGGTAGCTTACCCCATCCCCAGCCCAGATCTCCTGCCTGCCCCAGGGCCTTCAGCCCTTCCAAGGCAACCTGAGCTGGGTGAGGGCAAGAGGTCTGTAGGGAGAAATGCCAGACTGCTGAGAAATGGTGCTTACATCACACAGACAGCTTACTGTCTACATTAACATGGCTTTACTATTCCACTGCCCACATCGATCTAACTTGACTACTCCTGAATGTGTTGTACATAAAGTACAGATAACTTTATCAGTCATTCTTAAAAGACCCGTCAATTCTTCAATAGAAGCACCAAATGACGGTTTATCCTCTAAGACTCCTTGAACCCCTCTCCTCAGAATCCTTACCTTGCTGTATCCACCAGTCCTAACCTATTACATCATGATCTGTATCCAGTCCTAACCAATGCCCCACACTGAAATATCCGCCTGAAACCAACATCAACATCCTAACTTCGCGCCCCTCCCCCACACTGCTAAGGCTCTGTGGAGGCAGCACTCCCCCCCCACCACAGAAAGCATTAAACTCAGCCTTATCTGATCAACAGGCTGTTTTGATGATATTTTGGGGAGCCAGCATCTGACACTGCCCACAGATCCCAGCTTTCTCCGGGAGGGACACAGCTCCGCTTTTAACCGTCCTTAACTCACTCAGCCTACACGCCAAGCATCCCTCTGGAGGCTGGGGATAGGGACATGAATACTATAGGAAAGGCTCCTAATTACTGGGGATCAAACACAGATAAGGTACAGGAGTGCTCTCTCAAGCTGTTCTTAGCCTCGAGACCACTCCTGTTCCGCAGTGACAGCCCCCAGGCTGGGCCGGAAGGTGGGCCTTTCCTCAGCTCTGGCTCCCAGCCCACCAATTTGAAAGCCTCAGGGTTTCCAAATGCAGGCAAGGGCGCCATCTGGTGGCTGTCTGCAGAGGCGCTGCTGCTGGCCTCAGACACACACACGGCCCCCCCCTCACCCCCTTCACCCCACCCCACCCCTAGCCCTGCGGGGGTGGTTTTCAGGAGACAGGGCCTCCAAGTCCTGCTGCAATGCGGGGGCTGCTCTCTGGGCTCACGAGCACCAGTGAGACCTGAATCCACCCCATGCCCACCCCCACCCCGGCTCACCTCCTCCCTGAAGGGCAGGGGGGGCACGGTGGGGTCCAGGTGGAACATGTCCTCACACAGCAGCGCTCGCAGGCACAGCGCCAGGCTCTCCACGTCCCGGGCCATGGGGCCGACCGAGAGCTGTACTGTGGGGCAGGGAGGGGAGGAAAGAGAGATCACCCAGCCCCAAGGGGCTCTGGGGCCAGGTCCAAGCAAGGATTGGGCCGTGGCCCAGTAGTGTGAACAGGGACAAGGCGTAGGAACTCAGACCTAGAGTGGCCTGGGGGCCCAACACTGCCCCAAGGAGAGGCAGGGGCAGAGGCGGATCAGGCAGACCCCCCTCCTCCAGGGCATAGAGGGAACCACAGACCTCACCTGCTACCTGTCCATAGACACAGCCCTTCAGGCCACTCTTGCTGGATAAGAAACACAAGATGTTGGCAATGGGAAATGGCCATCCTCTGCCCAACCCCACATCCATACAGCAGCTCCCAACTCTCACCACTTTGAAAACTAGGAACCAAGGACTGTGGTGCTGTGACACTACCTCCCAGCAAAACCCCAGTCAGGGAATCCCTGCCTGGAGCCCAGAGAGGTGGGAAGCTAGGCCAAGGTCACACAGCAAGAGACTCAGAAGCTCCCTCCCCGGACCACCTACACCATACCTGATGCGGTTCCCTGTGGGTTTGAGGCCGCAGATGCCACAGAAGGCAGAGGGAAAGCGAATACTTCCTCCGATGTCAGTGCCTAAGCCCAGTGGGGAGCCCCCAGCCGCAATGAGGGCCCCCTCACCCCCTGAGGAGCCACCTGGGCTCTTGGAAGACTTCCATGGGTTCACGGTCTGGCCAAAGAGGGGGTTACCACAGTCATAGCTGGAGGAAGCAGAAAGGGGTCAGCCCATGTCACGCTGGCACCGGTGCCCCTGCCCCCACCCCGCACCCGAGACACAACCTGAACATGGACTGGGGGACATTGGTGTACACGAAGGGCAAGGCGCCCTGCCGCTTCAGCACCTGCACCACCACGCTGTCACACTCTGCCGGCGCCCCCTCGTTCAGGCTCAAGCCCAGTGTCGAGTCCTGGCCCTAGAAGGAGGGATGGGCGAGAGGGACGTGGCTGATGAGCCAGGGGCGCCTCAGCAGCACAGGGTCTGTTCCCACCACCACCCCACAGACCAAGGCAGGGCATACCCATGGTGCCCTCTCAAGGCCTTTAGACCTGGTACTTCCTCTGAGGGCCCAGGGTGACCCAGGACACAGAGCTGGCTGGCAGGGACTGGGGCAGGGCACACCTTGTAGCTGAAGCACTCCTTGAGGCTCACAGGGACGCCGTAGAGTAGGCCCTGCCTTGGGACCTGGCACAGCTGAGTCTCACAGTCTGCCAGGTAGGTAGTCACACAGTTAGTCCTTTTGTTCACTTCCCAGGCCTTGGGGAGAGAGAAATGGATACAAGAACAAAGTGAGGCTGGCTTTTCTTTTTTTGTTTCAGTTGTGTTAAAATTCCCTTACCACCCAGGGAAAGGGTAACCAGAAATATGACCCAGGGGCACAGAGGATAACCTAGGCCCAGCACTCGCCTCACTAGGGACATGTGGCTCCAGACTCACCCTGGCTGTCTCTGGCCTTCAACTCCAAAACGGACAGAGAGTGATGAGAGTACTCCCAGGGCCAGGGCACAACCAGGGCACTCAAAGGGGCAAGATACTGACCTCAGATGCCCCCCAGAGGCCAAGCTGGGAGGAGGATGACCCTTGGCCACCCCACCCCCTGTCCTCCTCCAAGCCACACCCTCTGCCCAGTGAGGCTGGCAGATCCCTGTGTCAGGTCACACTGGGAGTCAGGGCTAGACCCAGGCTACAGCCTCCCAGCGCGCGCAGGGAGCCTCCCAGCTCCTCTGCCCCAGGCGGGACCAGGTGAAGCCTCCCCTCCCCCAGGAACCCTTGAAGCTGATAATCAAGTCTCACGGAGGACTGGCTGACTGATGGCAACTGACAGGAACGTGGGTGTGGCCCTGTTGCCACACTCAGGTACAGGAAATCTGTCTCCTGCCCCGGGCAGAAAGAGAGGAGGCCAATCTGTAGCCAGAATGCTCTCCGCGGATGATTAAGAGGGGCAGCAGCTTCTTCAGGGACATGGATTCATTAGAAGCAACCCCAGCTGTTGAGACTGTGTGTCCTCTCAGTGCACCCGGCCCAGGGGTGTCCAGTCCTTTCTCTACAGTCCCTCTCTGCCCCCTTCTCAGCTGCAGTCACTCACACCACTCTCATACACACCCATCAGTCCCCCTGGCACTCATGTCCACCTGCTTAGGGGTCCCACTCACTACCACATGCTCTCTTCCAAGAAATCATATCAGATATAAGTCACACTCATAGAAGTCAGTCAGAAAAAGAAAAACAAATACCATATGCTAACACATATATATAGAATCTTAAAAAAGAAAATGGTTCTGAAGAACCTAGGGTCAGGACAGGAATAAAGACGCAGTTGAGAATGGACTTGAGGACATGGGGAGGGGGAAGGGTAAGCTGGGACGAAGTGAGAGAGTGGCATGGACATCTATACACTCCCAAATGTAAAATAGCTAGTGGGAAGCAGCTGCATCTCACAGGGAGATCAGCTCGGTGCTTTGTGACCACCTAGAGGGGTGGGATAGGGAGGGTGGGAGGGAGATGCAAGAGGGAGGGGATATGGGGATATATGTATACATTACTGATTCACTTTGTTATACAGCAGAAACTAACACAACATTGTAAAGCAATTATACTCCAATAAAGGTGTTTAAAAAAATGCTATGGCATATATAAAGTCACACTCACAAAGCACATTTCCTTCTTTCATTTTGTTTCAAACACATTTCTTGAGCACTTACTATATAAAAGACAGCGTTCAGCGCTAAGGTGCAAAGACAAAGAAGACTGTCCACCAAAAGCCCACATTTGCATTGAGAAAGAGAAAGACAAGGCAAGCCCTACAATGTGATGAGAAATGTGCTGTTAGAAAGTGAACACTGAAGAGGAAATCCTAACTCAGGCTGGGAGGGGAGGAGGGTCCTGGGAGGCTTACTGGAAGACTCCAGAGACTCCTCTCTGAGCCCTGAAAACTCTTCCGGGGGAGCCTGTTGCACTGAGCGGGGCAAGAAGAAGAGCCTCGCAGGTAAAAGGAGCCCCACACGAGCCAGTGCAGGCGCTGGGTGCCAGGGAACTGCCAGCAGCTGAGCCGCTGATGCCCCAAGCTACAGAAGGCCTTGGCCAGAGAGGATGCTGAAGAGCTGAGAGGGCACCTGGCCAGGAGGCTGGCGCTTGGTCCCAGAGGGAGATGGTGGTGGAGGACCAGGGTGGCTGAAGAGGGGGAGACAAGGGGATGGACTAGAGACAGCTATAGGAAGGGAACAGACCAGACTTGGTGACTGATGGGGTGGGGGCAGAAGGGAGAGGGAAGTCTGGGCTAAAAGCCAGGTTTCTAGCTAAGACAACATGCTCAGTATCCCCCCCCCGCCCCTCCCCCCCTCCCCAATGCACACACAGAGCCATTCTCTCTCTTCTCTCTCTCTCTCTCTCTCTCTCTCTCTCACACACACACACAAACATACACACACACACACACACAGAGTACCTCCCTGGCACTGTGATACCACCACGGCCCTCAGTGGGACAAAGTCCAGGCCAGGTTTTCCCCCCAGCCTTGCAGAGAAAGGGGAGGAAGGAGCAGGGTCACTCCCAGGCTTTACCTTTCCCAAGTAGGTGAAGAGCACAGCCTCCGGAGACAGCTCCCCATTGTGTAGCTTCTGTACCAGTTGAGGCAGAGGCAAGGCCAGCAGTGCCTCTGAGTCCAGGTCAGGGTTCTGGGGAGACACCTCGGATCAGTCCCCCACTCCCCGCAGGCCCCATATGCCTGCAGCAGACACCAGTGGCCCATGCCCCCAAATCCCCACACCTACCAAGCACGTGCGGTCACCTGCCAACCTGTGACAGATGTGCCCACCCACAGCTCTGACACCACAAATGTGGTCCAGCCTGGGCAGGCCCTTGCCACCTGTAGACAATACAGATCTATCTCTTCAAGAAGAGGAGTCCAGGGAGAGGCCATGCCCAGGCTGATCATTAGACCATTACTAACAGGGACCACCAATGACTACCTACTGTGTGCCAGGCACCATGCCAATGTGCTCCATGTTTGGATTAAATCTTACTACATTCCCATTGCACAGCTAAAGAAACTGAGGCTCAGCAAGGGGAAGTGCCTTGCCTAGGACTTACAGATAAACTATAGTTCTCTGCCCATTCAGCATGGGCTGCCCACTTGCTGTCCACCTGCACCTAACTACTCAACACCTTGTCAGGGGAGGGCAGAAATAAGAAAACCCTGTCCTGGGTGGTTAGGGTTGGAGCTGGAGCCACATCCAAAAGAGAGGGTTTTTTTGTTCAGTCCATAGATATTCATTAGGCACCTACTCCGTAGCAGGCACCATGCTAGGCAAGGGGATACAGCAATGAACAAAAAAGTCACATCCAGGCTTTGGGGGAGCTTACACAAGGTGCAGAGCTGGGGATGAGCAGATAATTCATAAGTAAATAAGAATTTTAGATAGCAAGAAATAAAGAAAATAAAATGGATGCAGTGAGTGGGCGGCACACAGGTAGAGGGTGGTCAGGGAAGAGCTGTCTGAAGGAGAAGGGATGTTTGATCAGACACCTACTGCCAGGCCTCGAAGGCCCCCAGAGTCTCTGGGGTCAGCCCCTGCCTGCAAACATCCGCTGGCTGGCTTCCCCCTGGAGGGTATTGGGCTAATTAGTAAATAGGGCTAGGAGGACATCTGAGTTGCAGGCACCACATCTCATCTCTACCCTCCTCTGCTCCTGCCAAAGTCACCAGGGACTTCCTTGTTGCCGAATATAACAAACACTTGACTCTTCATTCTGCTCCAAGTCTCATGGAGGCATTCAGAGGGCTCACTTCAGTTTCCTCTGGTCACAGACATACCCCGCTCCCCGGGGTTCCCTCCCACCTCTCCGCTCCTTCTGTCATCCGCTCATTCAGTCAACACACATGTTCTGAGCATCTCCTATGTGCTGAGGACTAGCTAGGGCTGTGAATTTAGAGATAACCAAGACAGACAAGTCTCCGCTTTCAGAGCTTACCTTCGAGAAAACAAACAAATTAATTGGGAAAAGAATTTGAAAAAGAATAAAAGAAAGAAAATAAGTTAACAAAGAACGGACAGATCACGGCAAGTGTGAGAAAGGATAAACGGAGGCTGTGACAGAAAGAACAGAGGAATGACTCAGATGGGCTGGGTAGGTGGCGGTGACATTTCAGATGTGATTTGAAGCATAAGAAGGAGCCAGACGCGGGGAGAGACAGAGGCTCCTGGAGGTTCCTCTGGCACCTCTTCTTCCCTCTCTGATACTGGGAGAAGTCACTCCTCATGGCTTCCACTCCAGGCCCTCTGCCTATCTCACAGCCTCCAGATCATCGTCCTTCAACTGACCCAACTGAGCTCAGACCTACTCGCTGGGCTACTCCCTTTTCTCCCTCTGTCCCTGTGTCGTTCCCCTGAGCTCAGTGCCTCCCCACCCCTCTCCACTGGCTCCTCTTCCCTCAGGGAAGGACGCTGCCCTCCATCTTCCACTCCCCCCCTCTCCCTCCCACCCACATCCAGTCACCAAGCCCCCTAAGTAGCTCTGGCAAATGGCCACCTCTCTGTCCCCTCTACCAAGACCCTTCAGTGCACATCCTTTCTCTCCTGGGTCAGACAGGGGCCACCCAACCGGCTGCCCCGCCCAAGGTTTGTGGCCAGGCCAGACAGTGCAATGTCCAAGCCCACCTTGCCTCTCCCCTTAAAGTCTCCTTCACACCACAAGCTCCAGGAGATGCTTCCAGGCCGTGGTCCTGTCAGACTCCCTTGAACCCCCTCAGTGCAACATGGCCCCCTCACACCCGCCACACGCCCAGAGCTGAACGCCCACCACACACACCCACCACACAGCCTTTGAAGCCTGGCCTCAATATCAGGAACACTCCACCTCTTCCCTGAATCTGTTAAATGGATACAACACTCACTTGGGTTTGTTTTTTTTTTTTTTTTTTTTTTTAATAATACAGGGAGCTACAGGGAAGGAAAAAAAGAAAAATGGATCCATGATCTCCCCACCAACACACGAGACAACCCCTAGTGACATAGTTTTTAAAGGTATACGGAATGAAAAGTGAACATTTCCCCCGACCTCTAGGGCCACCCTGCCCAGTCCCTCTTCTGAAAAGGAAAGCATAGTTAACAGTTTCTGATGAAACCTCACAGGAAAAAAAAAAAAATGTCTGTGAAAAACCCACAGTGTGGGGCTTCCCTGGTGGCGCAGTGGTTGAGAATCCGCCTGCCAATGCAGGGGACACAGGTTCGATCCTTGGTCTGGGAAGATCCCACATGCCACACAGCAGCGAAACCCGTGCGTCACAACTACTGAGCCCACATGCCGCAACTACTGAAGCCCACGCGCCTAGAGCCTGTGCTCCACAGCAAGAGAAACCACCGCAGTGAGAAGCCCGCGCACCGCAACGAAGAGTAGCCCCCGCTCGCCGTAACTAGAGAAAGCCCGCACGCAGCAACAAAGACCCAACGCAGCCAAAAATAAATAAATTAAATAAATAAATTTTAAAAAATTAGTATGGAGAATGCAGGAAGTGTACAAATAACGTCTCACCAAGCATGTGGCCATCTGTATGCCTACTTTTTCAAGCAAAGGATACTATAGCTATCATTGAATAACTGCCCCTCCTCCATCTGTTTTTCTCCTTCTGAACCACCTACTGTCCTAATTTCAGGTATCCTAGATTGTCCTCCAAGTCTTTTTTATTTTCACTCATGGGGTTTTTCTTTTTTATCGCTCTTGTCCTATTTCAAGATATCTCTTCCATTTGATCACGTAGGCGCCACCGATACTGATCGAAACGAAAACCATACTGTTCTTCGCGTTATTCATTGAATTGTTTTGTTTTAAAATCAGCTTCAAGTTGGTCTTGGAGACGCCAGGAGATGGAACTACAGGTCAGATCCAGTTGAAGGAAGTGGCATGCGTAATCCAGTGGGATTTTGACAAAAGGGCTTGTAAGGGGTGTGTGGGAAGGGCACAGAGGGATAAGCAGGTGTTTTGGGATGGCTCTCCCAGCCATAATATTCTGTCAATGGTGGTCCCTCTCTTCAGTCCAGAAAGGATATTGAAACTCATTCAGGGGGCAAGGTGGAAACAAATGCAACAAATGGGCATGTTACAGGTTAAGCTTCACTCAGTCAACAGAGAATACAAGAAATACACCTCACTCTAAAGTTCCTCTAGAGTCCAGAGAAAGATGAACCATCTTGCAACGTTCAGGAGGTGCTTAGTACTCCCCCTCCTCCAGCAACGCCTCTGGACACAGGAAGTATCTGGGTCCCAACTAGCTTTCCTGCGGTCTATCAGGCAGGAGCTGTACTATAAGCTGCTGTATTCTTTCAGGGCCCTACTAACCTTGGGCCCCTTCCCAAGGCCCTGGATGAGCTCAGCTAAACTGCCCACCTCCTACCCATTCCCAAAGCTATTGTCATGAAGACCTCACCTCTTTGCTGTTTGCTCAACACACTGAGGCTCCTAAGATAGTTCTCCCTCTCTTCTCCCAGTCACTGGAAAACCAAAAGGTGATTTCCCTGCTTTCCCATCTGCAAGAGCCAAGTTTTGGTGTTCTGAGGCCAGGCTCTGCCCCATGGAGGCTGTTTCAACAGCTTTTGGTATTTCAGGGCCAAAGCTTCTACGCTTGAAGAGTCAGTTCTTAAAAATAATGAAAGGCTGTTGCTCCAGAAGGAAACTGTGTAGACGCTGATGCTTGGAGTTGAAGTGAGGGAAGACCCACCTTTCTACCACCCCACACCCCTACCAGCTGGTGGGTTCCTTGCAACCAGGACGGGAGTCCTGTAGGCACAAACTGTGGACAGATTCTTACAGCTGCCTCCACACAGCCCTCGGTGCTGGCAGAACTCAGCTAGCCACCTGCACAGGACCTGGAGCCTCGGGAGCAGCCGAGAGTCTCCAGGCTGAGCCTGGGATCACTGCAAAGATCCCTGAGCAGGGCACCAAGGAGGTCAGCCAGAGAAGGAGGATCAGACAGTGATAAACCTGTGCCCAAGTAGGGAAAGTGACCAGTTTGGATTGAGTACCTAAAAACTGACTGACTGTGTACTTTTCAGCCAGCTTGATGAGTGAAGGCTGGAACCAGACACATTTTTATTTCAATAAATAAACAAATATGACATTTCCTGGTCCAGGAATGGTGTGGAGTAAATCCATACCATTACATCCAGCTAAAACCTCACGGCCATCAAGGCCATACCCAGGGCCTGGCATTCAAGGCCAGGGTCTCTCTTCCTAAACTTTCTCCCCTGCTCCTCTCCAGCGGAATGAGGCTGGATGGTCCCACCAGGCATCTGGGTTCTAGTTCCAGCTCCTGCCTCGTGCTGTCCCATTATCCGGAACGCCTTTCCACCTGTCAGATCCAAATCCTATCAAACGCTCGGGGCAAGTCTTCCCTCCCTCAGCACATAAGAACTGAGTTCAGCATTTTGACTTGGAACTGGGTCCAGTGTGTCATACACCTGGAGGGAAAGAAAGCCTCCCCTTCTAGGCCTCTCCCTCGCCCCCATACACACACTGAGCTGATCCAGAGGAGAAAATCTTGTTGACAGATCACCCACCTAAACCTATTCATGCAAAGGGCTTATAACCCATCAGACTCGACAGCCTAGGTGGCAGGGGTCCAGCTCCGCCAGTAACTCCCTGTGGACTTGGGCAAGTCCCTCCCCAGCTCCCTCTTAGCATCCTCAAGCACATATCAATGAGTTTGAACTGTAAGCTCTCCAGATGCCCTTGGCCATCACTTTATGGATCCCAAAGTCCTCAACCCGAGCATCCTATTGGTTCTCACACTTGCGTTTTAGAGTCCTAATAGTGATCTTGAGATTCTTTGGCACCAGAGCAAAGCTCCTCTTTGACCCATTGCGCGACAGCCTTCGACAGCCTGCCCTGTCCCTTTCGTTTCCCTTCCTCCCCTAGGCCCCACCTGGCTCAGAAAGAGTACGGAATGCATTACGGCGAGAGGAGTTTCGGGGAAGTACGGAATGCATTACGGCGAGAGGAGTTACGAACCTGCGCTGCCCACACACCTGCGCTGCCCACACACCTGCGCTGCCCGCTGCCCGCCACTCGCCCCTCCGCGCGCCCGGGCGGCTTAAAGTGCTGCCGCCACCCCAGGCCCTCCCCCTGACCCCGATTCCAACCCCGGCCATCACCTGGAGACGGAAGCGCTGAGCCGCCTTGTCCATGGTCTCCAGGGCCGCTTGCTGCCTCTGTCGTGCCCGGGCCGCCGCGCCCCGCGCCGTCCGGTGACTGGACCAGCGCAGGGCCAAGGCCGCCGCCACCAAGCAGCAAGCCAGGGTAGCCCCGGAGGGGCCGGAGAGGGCGGCCCACAGTTCATCCAGCACCATGGTCTCCCGCCGCCGACCGCTGCCGAGGGCAACCGAAGAGGAATCAGCACGCGCGGACTTTGCCGCAAAACCCGGCCTGGATCAACCTGGGATCCAGCGCCCGCCTGCGCTGGAGGGAGGGAGGGGCGGTGCCGCAGCCGCAGACCCGCGGGGCGGCGCGCTGTTGCCTGGCAGCCGGCCAGAGGCCGGTAAAGCGCAACCGTCAAGGTCAAGGGCGGCAGCTCGGCTAGGACTGCTCCCCAAGGCCAGGCGGAGCGGGAGGAGCACCCGATTCCCTTGGACGCCCTCGGAAGCTCGAGCGTAGCAGCGGTTCGGCGCCCCCGTCCGGCCCGATCTCTGCCCTGCGCACCCGAGAGCCCCAACTCCCGGAAGATGCAGTCCAGCCGGAGCCCCTGCGGGAAATAGGACGGAGAGCAGCGATAGGTTGAGCTCCCGGACCTGTTTAATCCCCGCAAACAGTTTAGCAGCATCGTCCTTGGAGAACCTTGGGTTGGACGGTGCATCACAGGGCACCCACCTCTCCCCTGCGTGGGGCTTTGGGGTGCCAGGCAGAGATGGGCACAGGATGTTCCTCTCAGGGAGCCCACCTGCTGCCCCCTCTCCTCCCCCACCCTGGGACCCGGTGTCTCCCTCCCTGGGCTCTTCTTCATGGCCAGAACACCGTCACTTGTCCTTTTGCTCAGCCACCTCGCACAGACTGACCTTCCCAGGGTCACTCTTCCAGTCCTGGGCCCTCCTGGATTTCATACTCAGGAAGCAGAAAGAACTGCTTCTGTCTGGGGACCTGACACCCTTCATTAGGGGGGTGGGTGGATTATATATACACACACATAATCTCCCATCTAGGCCTCTCACAGGACTTTATGTGCTTTATTTCATTTGTCCTCCCAACAGACCTATGAGGAAAGCATTTTTATTATCCTCATTTACAGATAAGGTAACTGAGGACAAGAGGGGTTAAATGACTTCTGTGGGTCACAGAGGTGGCTGAGTGGGGATTCAAACTCAGGTCCGATCCTAAACCATTGCTCTTAACCATCAAGCAGTACTCCATTACTGACCCCAGAAGTGAGGCTTCGTGGGATGGGATGTGGGAAAGTGCTCTGTGGCTGGAAAACTCTGTCTGCTGAAACACTGCTGTCCATCCAGTTCTGTCTTTACCTCTTTGAATCCGTGCCTTTTCTTGTAAAAGGATGAATGCCTACCTCACAAGATTGTTAGGAGGAGTCTGTGAGATCGTTGCTGTGAGCTGGGGAAACTGAAGGAGGTACCAGATCTTCAATCAGGCCTTATGGAGCTCAAGGTCTGGTTGAGAAGGAAAAAACATGCATAGACCAAGAAACAAAAGACATGCTTTGGTGGAAATGCAGAGATCATGTGGCATGAATCCAAAAAGCCTTGGATGCTGGGCCCTTAGGCTGAATATCCCTTGGGAAAGCCAGATAGCACAGTGGTTTAAGCTGGAGTGTCTGGTAACCCATCCTTGTTGCGTGACTGTGCCCCAGTTTCCTTACCTGTAAAATGAGGATAATAGTACCCCTGCCCCCGGGCCAATTCTCTAGTACTATTGGAAGAACCAAATGAGCTAACACATGAAATACAGCCAGAACTGGGACTAGCCTATAGAAAGCAATCCATGCATGTTAATCAGTATATTATTGTTGTTGTTATTATTAGAGACCTACAGAGAGGGGTTTTCTGACCTGAGAAGCCCAAGCTCAGGAACCAGACTCCCTGAGTTCAAATCCTAACTTTGCCACTTACTGTGTAACCTTCAGTAAATCACTTTAACCTCTTGTGCCTCAGTTTCCTTATCTGCAAAATAGGAGATAATCATAGTGACTGCTTCATAGAATTGTGAAGATTAAATGAGTTAATTCAAGGGAAGTTAATTCAAAAGAGTCAATTCAGCTAATTAAATGAGGTTAGAACAGCACCTGGTCCATTGTAAGAGCTCAATAAACATTGACTCATTATTTTAAACAGAGATGTGACACAAATGTTTTGGAAAGGCAATGTGGAGGAGGACAGGGAGAGGAAAGCTGGAGGCAGAGACTGTGGAATGGAAGAGCAGGCAGATGTGAGGATCCAGTGGGGCTGGGTTTCCAGGGCTCCACCTGTGTTACCAGAAAAGTATCTGCAATTCAACACCACACCATTCCTTGAGACAAAACAGCACTTGCCTGCCCTCAGGTGGTGTGTGTAAACTAGAGTTACTTTTATTTGCAGTGGCTCAAGCAGGCCCTGGTGGGTTTCCTGAGCAGTATCAGGGTCCTCCCCCACTAGCTGGTGACCTTGAGCAAGTCATCCTTATGCATCCTCAGCTGTCAAGTGGGAAGACAGGTAAATACCTTGCCAAGTTCGGTTGGAGGTGGGGGCAGGGCAGAAAGGATGAGGGGTAGAGCTTGCAGAAGGGGAGGAAGCTTCTCAGATTGCAGAGGGTTTGAACCCTGTCTTTGTTCTGGGGGTGAGAAGAGGGAGTGTGCCCCTGTTCTCAGTAACTGCCCTGCTTTGTTTTCTTTCATTTCTGTGAGCCTTTCCTCAATACAGAAGGGGAGGGCAGGAGCAGGGCACAGCCTGGCTCCAAGGAACTCACAGTTCCACAAGTGACATAGGATACCACACTCAGAAGCACTACCTGTGGGGCATTTTATAATTTCAAAGCACTGACAGGTCTTTGACCTCAGCTGACTGAGCTCCCCAACCACCTCAGAGGCCCCCTACTCTTACATTCTCCCCAGAGGGAGGGGAGAGTTTGTCTCCTATGGCAAACGATTCCAATACCACAGCTTTCTATGTCTCCGCTTTTTGCAAAGAGCTCCTCCCTTCAGAAGGGAGCTATTTCCCCACCCCTGTAAATCTGGGCTGAACTTTGTGACTTGCTTTAACGATCAGAATGCAGTGCACAGGATGTTGTGTTAGTTCTGAGCCTAAGCTGCAAGAGAATTGTTTTCTTTCTCTCTCCTGGAACCCTGCCACTGCCATGAGAAGAAGTCCAAGCTAGCCTTCCTGAGGACGAGGCCACGTGGAGTAGAAACTCAGCCACTTGTCCCTGCTCAGGCCCGTACACAGGTGAGAGCCCAGCCAAGATGGGCAGAGCGACTTGAATGCAGATACATGAGTGAACCTAGCCAACCAACAGGCTCAGAATAATAAATGATTGTTTAAATCACTAATTTTGGGGTTGGTTTATTACAAAGCAATAGTTAATTGACATACCTCCCAATCCCCATGGCCCAGATGAATAACTGAGGCCCACAGACAACCAGGGACTTGCTTAATACTCCATAGTGAGTGGGGGCCCACTGTGAGTCAGACCTGGAATTTTGAGGCTCACTGCTACCTCTGTAACAGGGATACACACACCTAGACTTTAGAACTGTTATGAAAAGTTCCTGGGCTTCCCTGGTGGCAGTGGTTAAGAATCCGCCTGCCAATGTAGGGGACACGGGTTCGAGCCCTGGCCTGGGAAGATCCTGCATGCCGTGGAGCAACTAAGCCTGAGCGCCACAACTACTGAACCCACGTGCCACAACTAGTGAAGCCTGCGCACCTAGAGCCCGTGCTCCGCAGCAAGAGAAGCCACGACAATGAGAAGCCCACACACCGCAACGAAGAGTAGCCCCCACTCGCCGCAACTAGAGAAAGCCTGGGCACAGCAACGAAGACCCAACACAGCCAAAAATTTTAAAAAACAAATTAAAAAAAAATTGTCTTGTATTAAAAAAAAAGCAAGTTCCTAGTCGTTAGCCTGGAAACACACCAACCACATCTCACCCTTAATCTGTTTTCCTCAACCTGTTTTAACCCATGTCATCCTTTGGATATACACAAAATGTTTTCTCCCTCCTAAATTTATTTGAAACTGTGGGGTAAGTTTCTTCACCATTCTGCCCCTGAGTTTCCTCACCTGTTAAATGGAGGTATTGTACTACCTCACTGGTTATTGAGAATTAAATGAGTTAATTTTAGTAAAGTATTTAGAACAGTGACTGACATATAGCAAGGGCTATATAAAATAATAGAATAAAATAATGTGACTAAATATGAGCCATAGCAATAGCAATTTTATTAGGGAAACATTTTTATTTTGATCCTGAGAGCTACATATTTTTCACTTGGCTTTGGTGACATCAATATGAGTATTGAGTCAGCTTGTATGTCATAACCTTTGTATCCAAGACGGTGAGGAAGAAAACATCTCGTGGGTGGCAAACCAGTTTTTGAAAACCAGACATGCAGAAAATCACATGCCCCCCTTCTCAAGAAGCATCAGTAGGACATCATTATATATTTACCTCGTACTTCACAGAGGGTATATTCTTGGTAGGTCGTGTATAAATCAAATCTTAACATAAATCTATCTTATTTAAAGAACTCATCTGGGGAACCATTCTGCAAAGTGAGGATGGCTTTTGTAAAATCAGTATACCTTTGAGGGACATTCAGAATTTTGACTAGAGGTAGACAGAACTTCTTTTGTGTCTAAAACAAATCTACCCTCCCAAGGTTCCCTCAGGTGACTTTGGTCCTTCTCTCTTGGGCTGCCTGCTACTGAATCCTGATACAACCCAAAGAGGCCTCTTGCCCTTGGCTCTCTAGGACTGGAATTTTTGCAATTCCTGACTCTACCAAGGTGAATCCCTTCGAAACCAGAAGGTGTGGGGCCATTGTCCTCACTGACTCTGATGTCACTATGCTGACAGTCTGAGTATTCAGCTACCAAGCTCTTTGGCTTCTGCTCAAGCTGGCGACAACCTGCTTACAACCTCCTTCACAAACAGGGGCATCTAAGAGAGACAGAGCCCACAGTTCTAGCAGATGCCCTCATCTTGTTCTGTAAGTTGGGTGAACACACAGGTAGGGTTCAAACTCAGTATCTAACGACTCTGGCAGACTGTCAGAATGAGCACATGTACAAAGGAAGGTCCTAACTCATTTCTCGGCCTTCCTCAAACACTTTAGGTCCCAGTATTATTCTGTGCCTTTGAACACACTTCCCTTGGCCTCTAATGTCCGATGTTCCTCCAAAATCTTCAGCCCAACCCTGCAACACACACTGCCTGGTAAACTTCTATTGATCCTTCAAGACCCAATTCAGAGGCCTCAGGTTCCAGATGGCCGGTGATGCACATGTATTTTGCAGATAAAGCATTTACCTTCTTCATTAAAATAACAGAAGAACATATTTTTAAAAGAATAACAACAACAAAAAGAATAACAGAGGCATTATTGGTAAACAAACAAACCCCCCAAAAAGTAAGACTCTTAGAAGATAGAAAGCAGGTGATATCAAATTGAAGGAAAAGGAGAAGCAGTCTAAGACACCAGAGGGAGCCAGGGTCTTCCCCAAGAAAGACCTGGGGAAGGTCCAAGCAGGA